TGCGACCACATGAGGAGCATTTACGACATTAACACGGAAATCCCTAACGCAGACCTTCCAATACTTATAAAACCAGCGAGTCAAGACAACGTCATTGTCAGCGTTGGACGGCTTGGTAACACACGCTGTGTGAGAGCAACGTTCAAAGGTGACTGTCTTCCCGCATACGTGAAGGTTGGCCATTTTCGTCAACAAGTTAGACCGTTTATTCCAAAACACGTGCAATGCTTCAATTGTCAGAAGATTGGCCATGTAAAGGGTGTTTGCAGGAGCTCCGCAGAGTGCCCCCGGTGCGCCGAACTACACGCAGAAGACAACCTCAGCGCTACCACACTGAAGTGTCCTAACTGTTAGGGTGCTCACAAGGCTTCTTCGAAAGAATGTCCGCACATAAAGAAAGAATTTTCTATTCTGAAGCGAATGGTACGAGACAGCTCAACCCGCACAGAAGCGGCTGAGAAAATCTGGCGAAGACGACGTCGCCGTCGAAGGTCTTCACGTCTGACAGCGCCAACTTCAGGCAATAAGTCGACGCATCAGGAAAGATCGCCAGCTGCAGTTTCCAACACGGCAAACACAGACGTTGGAAAAGAGCAAAGGGGCAGGCAGTCTCTACAGAAGAGTGGCCTCCACTTACGAGTACACAACGCTCAGAAGAGCCGCAGCAAAAGCCGTCTTCCTCAGAGCAAGCTGCTGCAATGGAGGACTTGCGGAACACAGATCAGCAAGTGATAGCTCTTTTGCGACCCTTAATTAACGTCATTGGCTTGTTGTTAAGCAACGTGCACACACCGTCACCAAGAAGTGCATTGCAATTACTGGACGCTTTGAGTCCAGTACTCGCAGCGCTTGAGTAAATAATGGCTCACCAGCCACTGTCTTTCAGAGAAGAGGTCCGAAAGGCAGCAATTATTCAATGGAATGCCCGGGGACTGAGGTCACGCATCGCCGATTTCCGTCGGTTTGTGTACACCAATAAGTTCCCCATCATTGTCATCTGCGAGCCAAATTTACAGAAAGAAATCAGACTTTCTTGTTATGAGTCATTCATATGTCATCTACAACTGCAGACGATAGCAAAGTTCTGATGTTTATTCGCCACGACCTCACCTACATCCATCATCCGGTGTCACCCCATGACGACAATCAATATATAAGTATAACAGTGAAAAGGAGACTTACCATCACGGTTGTGGGTGCCTACCTCTCTCCGTCAAGCCGTTTCGACCATACAAGACTACAAGGTATCCTGTCAGCAACTTTTCACCTATGCATTAAAATTGGCGACTTCAACGCCCATCATACAATCTGGGGAAGTTCGAAGACCAATGTTAAAGGGAGAAAGTTGGTGTCCTTCGCCTCCGACAACCAACTTTTCTTGCTAAATGATCGCAGTCCAACGTTTCTACGTGGTTCAAGAAATAGCAGCTGCCTTGACCTGGCCTTTGTCTCACGAGGCCTCCTCAGGCATGTTGAGTGGTTTCCAGACATAGAAACGCATGGAAGTGACCACATTCCCACTTACGTCAAAATCGAAGGATTGTCCCATGCTTAAGGTACGCGATAGTGTTCAGAGAGTGGACTGGTTGAAATTACAGTCTCGCATGGAAGAGCAATGTGAAGCAAACATATCCCTCGACATAGAGGAGATAATTAAAAGCACAATACACTATACTACGTGTACCCTCACCAGCTCTCCCAAAGTAACGGAATTTGACATCGAGCTAGAACGACTTCGAGCAATCCGACGGCGTGCTGAACGAAGATACCGACACACGGAGGCAATAGAAGACTTACGGATTGCTCGACGTATCCAAAAGAAGATTCAGCGCCGGATAATTAAACTCGAGTCACAACGTTGGACTGTTTTTTGTGAGTCACCTGACCCACGAAAACTTTTATCCCAATTGTGGAAGGCGGTACGAGGTCTCCGCACAAAACCCATTCAGTGGTCACCATTCAGGGCTCTCGCATTTTCTGAACAGAGACGCGGCATTGAAGTGGCAGAAGAGTTCTGTGCCAGAGTATCTGGGCCACTCGCAGTGCCCGATAGCCTATTGCCCTCGACTAACTGTCCACACACACTGGATTCCCGCATGGATATGCCTTTTTCAATCGGGGAGCTCAGAGCAGCACTAGCTTTGTGTGGACGCACGTCGGCACCAGAGCCCGATAGAATTTCTTATGGGGCCTTGTGTCATCTGGGTGAACGCGCGAGAATACTCCTTTTGGAGTTGTACAACAAATCCTGGCAAGATGCAACGCTCCCGACAAGCTGGAAGACAAGTCGCCTAGTTCCACTTCTGAAACCAGGCAAGTCACCGTAGGAGCTCTCATCTTATCGTCCGATCGCATTGGCTAGTTGTGTAGGCAAAGTTATGGAGAGGATGATCTTGGGACGCCTGGAGTGGTTCTTGAAGTGTAACAACATCTACCCAGATGTCATGGCAGGTTTTCGGCGTGGTCGAGCATTGATTGACAACGTAGTCGACCTGCTCACTTACGTCCAACACGAGAAAGGCCGTAAGCGTCTCTGCGCATCTTCGTTCCTAGACGTTAAAGGGGCGTATGACAACGTTACGCATGAAGCTGTTCTCACCGCTATCGAAGATATAGGAGTAGGTGGTCGGATGTATCGCTGGATACGTAGTTATTTGTCAATGCGATCCTTCTTTGTCAGCACTGAACACGGTCCAACATGTCCACATTACAGCCACCGTGGCGTCCCCCAGGGTGGCGTACTCAGCCCTGTGCTGTTAAATCTTACGTTAATTGCTCTCAATGAGCACCTGCCAAGCATGGTCAGGCTATCAATGTACGCAGATCATATCGGCGTTTGGGCATCGGCTGTAATACGCCTGCTGTTACGAGGGAGAATTCAAAAAGCTGCCACTGAAACATTACGCTACCTACGAAATCGAGGCTTGTAAATTTCTTCCGAGAAATGCGCCCTCGTAGCTTTTACACGAAAGCCTATGGATAAGTACACTATAAGCATCAATGGTCAAACGGTACCATACGTTCGATCGCACAAGTATTTGGGCGTCATAATTGACAAGAATCTATCATGGAGCGATCACGTTTCGTACATAAAGAAACGGTTAATGGACATCTGTAATATACTAAAGTTCTTTGCAGGGAGGACTTGGGGAATGTCTCCCAGTGCAATGCTACAGTTGTACAGAGTACTTTTTCTCGGTTTTCTGCGGTACAGTTTACCGGCATTGGCCAATGCAAGCAAAACAAGCCTTCGAACGCTACAGAGTGTTCAGTCCCAGGCACTCTGGATTTGCCTCGGCTTGCCTCGTAGTGCGTCGACAATGGCTACTGTAGCTATCGCCGGTGACCACCTCATCACGACACATATCGACGTTGAGGCACTCAGGACACATATAAGGCATATTGCTCGGACACCCTGCCACCACCTAGCCTCTTTACCAGCAGACAGACCACGTTCCTCATTTTGCCAAACGGTCACCACATATTGCGATTCTTTGCCAACATGCTTCACACCCACCGCCAGGCCTTCGACTCCTCCCTGGTGCCTGACTCAGGCTAACATCAGGCTAACTATACCTGGCATCCAGAAAAAAGCAGATATGTCGTTACCTGCTCTTAGACAGCTTGCTCTGCTCTTGCTATACGCGACGTATCAAGGCTGTATACACGTATACACCGACGGCTCTGTTTTACAGAAGCGTTCAACGGCATCATTTGTTATACCGATAAAAGACACGACAAGAAAATTCAAGACCTCCCACCTTACGACGTCAACGGGAGCAGAGCTCACAGCTCTTTGTGGCGCATTGCAATGCATCAACGACCAACAGCCACAAAAATAGACAATTTTCAGTGACACAAAGGCAGCACTGCAATCCCTTCTATCACCTTTACGCCACGGCCCGCACGAACAGCTGGTATTTGAGATTGCAGAAAAGACTCACCAACTCATTGAGAAAGGACATGAAATAGCCTTTCAATGGCTCCCAAGTCATTGTGGAATAATTGGCAATGAACGGGCCGATCGAGCTGCCCGTTCTGCCTATACTAAAAGCGATGAATTATCAATTCCGCTTTCCAGAACTGACACTGCACAGAAACTCCGCATGCTTGCTCGCAAGCGCACCTCGTCACAATGGAACGAGTCACATTTCATCCATGCAAGGTTAGGTACTTTGGACCCAACTCTTAGTCTTCGAATTCCTCCGGAATTACGCCGACGAGACGCTACTATGCTGTGCAAATTATGGTTGGGCGACGCATTTACCAATGCGTACGCGTTCCGCATAGGAATGAATGACACTGCTGCATGCGACCATTGTGGCAGTGATGAAACATCTTGGCACATTCTGTGTGAATTCCCACAACACTGCTCGCAGAGACAGTCACTCTGCAATGCACTAGATGAACTGGACAACCAGCCTCTTTCGGAAGAAAGAATCCTGCGCTGCCTACAGGACTTTATGTCGCAGGAGAAGGCTGTGAAGGCGCTCCTGCGCTTCTTGCGTTCAACCGGCCTGTCCAAACGACTGTTATCGGAACTCCCTGAATGTGTGCGCATGTGGTTTTTTTTTAATTTATTTTTTATCTCTCTATTTCTATCCTCTTTCCGACCCTTTTCCCCACCCCCGTACAGGGTAGCAAACCAGTTCGTCTAGGTTAACCTCCTTGTCTCTTCCTTTTATTTATTTCTCTCTCTCTCTTCCCTTTTCTCCTTACCCCCGTGTGGAGTAGAAGGCCAGAAACCCACTTTCAAGGCTGACCTCTCCTCCTTCTCATTAAACACCTTCTTCTTTTTAGTGATAAAAGTTTGCCGCTGCATCTTGAAAGCACAGCTTTACCATTGTTGATTCCTGTTCTAGGACCCGTCAATATCATGATATTCACAACCTTTCTCCAAACTTTCGTAGAAGTAACAAATCGCGTGATCAATGGGCGTCGATTGAGCCGGCTGTGCTTTGTGTATGTTCTCTTCAAGCCCTCCGCGCAGAGTACCTGCCATGGCTCTCAGCGGGTTCTATTCGGTAAGGGGCCCTGGCACAACATCAAGAGCCAAATGCGGACGCTGCCTTTACGGCGTCTTCATCCAAAGAATTAATCAATCAATCGCAGAGAAACCAACCAGGCCATGGCTCGTATCGTGCACTGCACTGCCCATTCCTTCGCAGCGCGTATTGTGTCCGGTAGCCTTCGGCTTTATCCCTGCCCCGCCCGCCACGGGCCGCTAGGCCGGTGGCGCGAGAGCGTGTACGTGTGTCAATATAATATGTATACCGACGGGAAGGCAGGACGACTCCCTCTTTGGCATTATTAGTAATCACGGAGCGACCGTATACCGGTTATTTTACTTCAAAACACGTGCTGCGAAGCTTGGACACTGAACAAGTAAACCATTGGTACCGGTTCTGACTGCACTGCAGAAAAAAAAAACTGAATTGCGCCTCTTCTTTGGGCTACGAGGGAAATATGAAGTTTGACACAAGGTGCAGAGTAGTGCACCTGTCGCGTCATTGAAATTATTCTTCCCCAACAGTATACGTTTTGAAGAGAACATGCACTCGTGAGTGCCGATTCACTAAACACCTTGGCATTCATATAATAGAAATACTTGCTTGTAAGTTACTTAAGGAGTTTATTTTTAATGAAGATAATCAGAGGCTGGTATTTTCACGGCGCAATTTCTCTTCTTCTATAGTCATGGTAAAGTTATGCTTATGTACAAAACACTTAATGAAATAGGCAATATGCAAAGCTTTTTATTGAAATGTAAGAAATGCTGCCGCCAAAGGCACCTGCATGCGTTGCTGAATAGAAAAGGAGGCCGGGGACAGAGAAGCTATGGCATCTGTAACATTAACTCTTCCTTCGCCTGCATGAGTGGAGAGATTTCCCTTCTCTGTCGTTTTCACAAGATGTAGCAAGTAACCCTACTCTAAAGCCCATCTTATTTTGCTTCACGCCTTGACTATAAGACTCAAAGGCAGATTTGCTGCAGTATTGAATGCGAAGCATTTCTTGGCAAGCTTAGGTGACTTTGAGCATATCTATCTATCTATCTATCTATCTATCTATCTATCTATCTATCTATCTATCTATCTATCTATCTATCTATCTATCTATCTATCTATCTATCTATCTATCTATCTATCTATCTATCTATCTATCTATCTATCTATCTATCTATCTATCTATCTATCTATCTGTCTGTCTATCTGTCTGTCTGTCTGTCTGTCTGTCTGTCTGTCTGTCTGTCTGTCTGTCTGTCTGTCTGTCTGTCTGTCTACGAGATTGAGCTCTCCTGGTCGTTTCGATAATGGTATCGATACCAAGATTGGTATGGCGTAACATGACTGTATGACAAGCATAAGTGACTAGTCACAACATGAAAACCATGACATGTATGTCATGAAGGTCTTGCTGGTCTGCGGTGGTCTTGCTGCTCTTGCGGGGGTTTCGTTGACATGACTTACTTCAAAACTGGTATGGTATGATATGGCTGCATGGCGAACATAATCGACAGACTCTAACGTAGAAATCATGAAAACATGTTATGCAAGTCATGAGTCATGACTACACGCCACGCTCATGGTCAGCTCGCGGTCGTTTCGCTTGCTTCACTGACACCGAATTGGGCATTACGGAACGTGAGTGGATGAAGAAGGTATACGACTGATGCAATCATAATAATTATAAGGTGCGTGTCATGTGAAAACATGATTACATGCCAAGCTGATGATGCGATCGCGGCCGTTTCGCTAGCTTCACATATGCCAAATTCGGTATTACGTGACGCGAACGGACGACGAAGGTAAATGACACGTCGAAACATGTTAATCATTACATGTGTGTCATGTGAGAACACGACTACATGCCACGCTCATGATGCGATCGCGGCCGTTACTCTAGCTCCACATATACCGAATTTGGTATCGCGTGACGTGAATATACGACGAAGGTAAGTGACATGTCCAAACATGATAATCATGATATGGAAGTCTTGTACGGCATAATTTACGTCCACCTTGTAACGTTGTGTGGTTTTCAAAGTGACATATCAACCTTCCCCATTTGTGCTTTGGATATAATCGATTCTCACTGTACGTGATATCTGGTAACTCTTTAGAATACATAACTTATTTTCTTGCGCGCCAGCACAGAAAAAATTACCAGCTTTGTCTTCATCGCTATTTTCACTTTTGATTTCAGTGGACCAGGCCGTTCTCCCCTCTGGCGACACACGTGGCAACTGAAATCTTTGGCGCATGGGGTGATGAGGCGTGGTTACAGTGATTGCGTCGATAACTATAAGGGAGAAACACACTCTTAGTAAAAGGCAGTGCTAATTACAAACTTTGAGGTAGGAAATTGTCACAATATTCACTACCTAAGTAGTAACTGCAGGTAGTATATCACAGACGTTCACTATATACTTGGAAGCAACCAGTCGTAGTAAATGTCTGTGGTCTACTACCTGCAGTTACTACTTATGTAGTGTGTGTTGTGACAACAATTTACAATCTCAAAGTTAGTAAGTAGCACTGCTTTTTTTTTAAAGTGTAGTCCAAAAGGTTAATGTGCGGACCATTATCTGTCTCACTTTTTTAGTATTGTCAAGGAATTTCGTGCATGCGTAGGAACCTGACTTGCACCAAAGAATGTTATTTTTTTTCTTCGCTGGTAGTTGGAAACCAACGGTGTCATACACACGCATTTATCAGTTGTTATTCACGCACCTCACAAAACGATGGCGACGGCGTCCTCTCCAGGTGCGCGTCACACGGCCTCCCTTTTGTGCAGCCACGATTATCGGAGCCAAGGATGCAGCGTATGCACAACGCATGGGTAGAGCTCACGCGTTTTGTGCGGCTCGGGGCAGCGAGTGATGGCTGTGCCGACCCGCGGGCAAGGAGTTTCTGCCCGTGGCGGCTGTAGGCCTTTCGGTCAACAATGGCGCGAGGCACCCCAACGGCGCGCTGGACGATGAGTTACTTACCCCTCTTTGTTATTTGTTATTGTTCCCATCTAGTGCATGCTTGACAGCAAAGATGCTGCAGGCATTGCTCCACAATATTGTCACTGTGTATCGACCTAGATGAAAGCAGCGCCAGTCTAATCCGTTCCCTCCACACGAAACCCTGTTCAAGGAGTATACAAAAAAAAGGGGGGATCACTATGCGGCTACAGGCGAAGATGAGGCCGTCGAACGAAAATACCGACCAACCACCACCGATGACCGAGTGAACCCAAGAGAGCAATAGTGAAATTTAGGGTCAAGTAATTATAGGTTTCGTATTAGCCGGTGCAGCTCTTGCAAAATCAACGTTTGGATATAGATACAACTTGCATTTGACCCTATGTAGTTGTGCAGTTGAACAAAGTCGCAATCCTGATTCCCATTTTTAAGGTGATTGAATGGGGAAACGGTCAGGCGTTTTGGGGCTGAATAAAAAATAAATTATTTCATTGTTGGTTCAAGCTCGTGCACGTCGTTTAACTACTTGCACGAGCATCTGGTGTATCAAATAAGGCACGACCACTGCGATTACTACCTAGCACTGGAGAACCGACGTGACTTAATATTTCGAGGGCTGCCGAGCTATTGCGCAATTGTCGGTGACGACAGTGCCGATGATGCTGCATGATCGGCGTATACCAGCATGATCTATGAGTGCCTATATCACAGTATTGAACGGATGCTGCGCGGAAACTTCAACTATTTGCCGACTAAATCACACTTTTACAATGAAAAAAAGTGCGCAGCTTAAGGACGCAAGGGTGGAACCATCAGCTGAGCGAGTGTTTGACCAGCTAGGTTTTGCTAGTGATGTCAAGGTTTTTCTAGGTTTCACTAGTAGCAATAAGTGTGGCTAGACTTGGCTAGACCTGTCACGTGACTGCTTGTTACGTGTTGTGATTCTATTGACGAGACTATCTGCTACGTGCTTTATGGCGAGAACATGTCACGTGATTAGCTATGATGTGATGTCGCGTGATTTTTGTAACGTGACTAAGTGTTGCGAAGTGTAACAATGCGCTACGTTGGCGAACCGAGTCTAATCACACAATAAAACGAAACACACAGGAATCTTGCACACTAACAACGTTTATTTAATCGCTATCATTCGTCAATATTTGTATATTGATAATGAAAGGTGACGTGTGCAATGACACGAGAATGTATGAAGAATTAACACAAAAGTGCGACTGAACAACTCCACCTTTCGCTGTAAAATACGCCGGGCTTCTTCAACTCTCACAATATTTTGTAGGCTCTAATTTGTGACTTCGTTTGCTGCCCGCACTGTCCTGTCACGAAACAACGTTACCGTGTGGCATGCGGTGGTGTGTTATACATACGAAACATATGAATGCTTATTATTTGGCCATAGAAATGGTCAGTAGTGTGGCAGGCAGCTTTTAAAGCTGCGGGGAGACATTTTAGCACATTTTGTGCGCCTCTCCATTCTAAAACAATGTTCAACCGCGTGCGCAAGGAGCTAAGTTGTACCACATTAATGGAAAGGCACTTTCGGGAAACAACATCCTGGGGCCTTGACCAACGCTTTTCTACATATACAAGGCCACAAACTTCCTATTGTGCTCTCTCAAGTTGACTGAAAATTCCGGTTGTTAACTAAAGTGGATGTGGACAATAATAGTCAATTTGCTCTCTTTTCCCGACTTTTTTTCTTGTATCTTATCTATTACTTACTTATTTTCACCCTTCTCATGTGTAGGTTAGCAATCTGAGTAGACCTCCCTGCGTTCTCTCCCTGTTTATTTCTCAAAGCAACCTTTCTCGTACGGTCAGTGCATGACGTAATGTCCCTCGTGTGACTTTTACGATCAAAACGGGACTCTAATAAGAGCTTCTAAGAAGGCTACTTCTTATGATGCAAAGCGAACTTCGCGCTGAAGATACACATCTGATTGACTCCGCTGTCATCTGGCCTTCTAATAAAGATCTAGCTTCTGTGACCACATATAACTGCTAGGTGAACACTGTTGAAAACAAATTGAACAGGGTAGTGAGCCAAGTACAGCCTGGTTAACCTTCCTGCCCTTATTTTTTTTCTCTCTTTCTTTATGTATCTGGCCAGCCTGTTACTAACTACAAAACATGCCGTATCATCGCGTCTGTACTTACACTGGTTATTCTAACAGAGCATGCTCACATTATCTGCTGCAACTCAGCTCCGATTACTAAGGTACAGTTGTTCTAGACGCCAAGAAACCATCAATTCAATGCAACACACAGCACTGTCTTTCTCTAAATCATTCTGATTGGTCTGTACTAACAACAACCCTAAAAAATTTAAATACTAAGGCAACATCCATCGATGACGCCATGTGCTCACATATTAAGTGCAACACAACCAGCATGACATAAGTGTCAATGGTGAGACCAACTGCTTGAATTTTCTGCCGCGAAAATTGATGTCATTAAACTCGTATTCTGACTTGATGTCGAAGCTGAGCACCGAAAACTCTAAAGGTGCTCAGTGAAAAAAGAAGCAATGAGAACCAGAACAAACGCAGTTGCCATTTCAGTATATTCGAAAAACTTGTCTTGCGGCATATACGCACCGAATAGACTTCCGCCGACTTTGATTTATTGGCACTTATCGTGCGGTTAACAGTGACAGCTGCGTAGATGCACGCTTTACATCAATCCCAAGTTTCACTTAGCTTCATGTGACATTATAAGTGTAAATACCATAGAATTAGTCGTTTGGGTGGCAGTTTAGGAACTGTTGAATCAGTGAAAGCATCGCTGCCATCGTTCAGTGCCTTTCTTAACCAGTGTTTACTCGTTAGCGCTATGTATTTAATGTACGCACATCGTCGCTTCATCATGACATCGTCGCTTGGTGAAAAATGGACAGATCGCTGTGACACTGCAAAAGCAGGTGAGGTGCAGAAAGCTTGCAATGCATACAATTCCGGAGGCAGTGCGAAGCCATGTTAGGTGCAGAACGCCCTCGCAATGAGAGAAAAAAAAAAGATGATGATTCCGCTTTCAATTTGTGTCAAGTGAAGGCATGAGGACCCCATGAACCTTTTGGGGTCATCGCCCGGAACCTTACAATTCTTGAAGAAACGGTGATTTCTGTACTGCACAGATGAAAAGTGAATTTTTCAATCTTACCGCAGCTCTACTAAAACAAGCTCCAGAGAACCCACAGCGAGCGATGAAAAATGGAGCGCCTTTCTTGCGTGGAGGCTCCGCTGACGTGTGCTTTTCTTGCACGCAGGCGTGGCACAAGCGGTTCCTGGTGCTCAAAGACGAGTCGAGTGAGCGGGGTCCGCTGCTGGAGATGTACACGAGCCAGGAGGAGGCCCAGTCGCAGTGCACGGCGGTAGCGTGCAGCAGTGGCGGCAGTGTGGCACGCGCTGTGCCAGTGACAGCGCCCGCCTGTTGCAGACTCTGTTTCGACCTGGCGCAGACTGTGCACGTGGGCTTCACCTCGGACTCGAAACGCTTTCCCAACGCTCTGGTGCTCGTGTGTCAGGGCCGGTCGCCTCTGGTGTTGGCCGCTCAGGACGAGCTCGGCTCGCGCTCTTGGCTGCTTGCTTTGGGACTCATCGCCCACAAAGCCTCATCACAGCACGGGTGGAGGTTTATGTGCCGGAAGGTTAGGACATTGCCGAAGCTTAATGTTTACAGCACTCACTCCACAGGTGAACTTTGTCAATCAGGGCGATTGTCATATAAAGTGCTACACGAGTTATCAGCCATGATTTACCTCAGCTTGTCAATGATAGCTTAGGAGACAGAAATAAAGCAGTGCAAAACATGCGGGATGGCTTAAAGACAGAGACAACATGACCCCCAAGTTTCCTGTTATTTTGTGCTTTTACTGAAGCCCCAACTAAACGACAATTTTATTATTCCGGTGTCTATATGGCCTCACGTGTGCTTTGTGACGCTTATTGTGCTGCAGCAACGAAGACGTGTATCTTTAGTGGTGCAAATTTTCACGACTGACGATTACGTCTTCATGCTAGAATAGCTTCGTCAATTTTTTTACTAAAGAGAAATGTGCGCTGACCGGCATGCATGAAATACCGTTTAGGCGTATCTATCCTAAACATTTTTTTGCGGGGCTAAAGCATTCACATGTGGCAAAAGCCTCGTACTGAAGAGAAACCGCGAAGTCCGCTGTCAGCTTATCTTATAGGTTACGGTGTGGTGTTATAGATTCACTTAGTTACTAGGTTTGATGCAGCTAAACTTCTTAACCGAGAACTCACTTCATAGCCTCGCTCGATAGGTGCTTCGTTCTTTCGACGAAGTTAAATTATCGAACGTTTGTAAGCAACGCACGCACTTGTTTTACTCTATCTAGTTGGGAGCTAATTAGAAGGGAGCACTTTCGCCTGCTCTTCAGGCACACTCGATAGTGAAAAAATATCTGTTTGTTAAAACGGAATGACACTGAACCACTTGCCGGCCAAGAAGATCGAAGCCTCGGCGCATAGAGATGCATTCGGTTCAGCTGTATAGAAGGGACCAAATCTGGAAAGAGGCCTCGGCCACCCGGGTCTTGAAGCGTGTGAACTGATTCGATCACGCTTGCTAGCTTCGTTCTCCCCTATTTCTCCAAGTACGTATCTCATGGGGCTCTTAATGTTGCCAGGCGTCCGAGCAAGCGGCGGCCATGGCCAACTGTGCGGCGTTCAGCAGCAGCGTGGAGAACAGTGCGTCTGGCGCCGGAAGCACCGACCTGGGGTCGTCATGCCGCCTCCGCACGGCGCGAGGTAGCGGCGGAAGCAGCGGTGCCTGTGAGGGTGACTCGGCTGAATCTCTCGACGGCGTGCTCATCCCGCCACCGCTGGAATATGGCGATGGTTGCTTAGACAGTGAGTACAAGTTGTTCTGGGATAAAATCTGCTGCAAGCATAGCCAACGTGATGTGTGACAGCTGGTGCTGCTGTAACTGGTGTGACCAAATGGTTCTGTAGCATATAAGCTTGTATGCGGCGCAACTGGGGGACTTATATGAAAAAAAAAATTCCAAATGTGGGCAGCCAGGTTTCTTCTCGAACGATAGATACGCTATAATACGGTGTCGTAAACCAGCAAGTCTTGTTTTAGAACTCGGGTCACACGAGTCGCATGTTTATCGAGCACTCTATTACGAGTAAAAGCGGAGCTTATATCGAGATGTCCTGTTTTTGCTATCCGCAATCATATTAAAACGACAGGGATGTCGAAGGTATGTAATTATTTGTTATTCCAATGAAGTGTATTACCTATGACCTAAACGCAAATTATTGTGAACTAAACGAAGTTATTCAAGAAAAAACACCACCGGCAGAAGTCAAACCCTAGACCCCCCTCTTCCCATCACGCTTTCTTACGTTGCTCTCGTTGGTCTAAGTTGTCTACGGAGAAGCCGGCTCTCTAGTCCTCTTTCTTCGATGTGTACGAGATTTAACACTGGGAGTGTTAGCCAGTGCTACACCTAACCAAGGCGGCGAATGCAGAACATCCTTTTCATCTTTGTTACGTGTAGTACGAGATGTATCGGGAGCTCGCAGCTAGTACGCTCTCTTAACCTGACTCCAAATAGTTAGCAACGGCATGCACTTCGACACCGTTCGAGTCTAGTAGCCTGAAGGACTCCCCGATTTTGCTAGACCGCTTGCGCACATGCTTCAAAAAGGCAGCTCGCCTGTCAGTAAGATTTTTTTTCTAATAATGCAATATATGAACTGTGTTCCCGTTTGTATAGGCATTTAGAGAGAGTTCTGAAAGAGCTAAATCTTTCTTCCACTTGCTGAGTGGAGGTCATTTAGCCTTCTTGTACGCATAATCTTTATGGTTCAGTGCACTTATAATTTCAGAGGAGAACCAGTGGGGATATTTACGATGTTGAGGTATATATTGCGGAATAAGCCTGCGCATGCTACTTTTATTTATTTTTTATTTATTTATCAATACTGTTGGCCGAAGGCCGTTACAGGGTGGTTGCGTTACAAAATATGCAATAAAAAAGAAAAAAATGCAGTCGCAATCGAGGACAGACTAAAGGTACAGTACACGCAAAAGACACAATGCAGTAGTACACGTTATACAATGATAGAAATGGGACAATGCAAGCAAGAAGAGCTATAGACACTAGTAAATTCTGGTAACAACAATTTTTCCGCGGTCGCTGAAGGAATCAGCCCTTATACAACAAAAAACGATAGTTTTCTTTAGGTAAATTGAATCCGCATTGTATAGGCTATATGCGTCTGCATTAGAAGTGAAAAGTTTAGTTATCCCAGTTTCAAATTTGCTTACATTTTCTAACAAAAGCTCCGTAAATTCCTCAACTTAATAAAAGCTCCATAAACTCCTAAACTTGTTCATTAATATTTGCTTTGTTGGTAATCTGTCACCAATCAAGGGCTGTTAAGTAATAATAGGAGCTCGTGTCGTCACCTCTCTTGAAAGCAAATCTTGGAGATTGGTCAAAATGGCTACTGTAGCTCGATGTTTTGGCAAAAGAAATGCAATCTTTCAATGTGTGGTGGGTGGAGTTTGTCAGCACAAACAAGAGAGAGGTCGCAGCATGAAAATTTGACAGGTTGATTGTTTGAGAGGCAGAGGTCCAAGACATTGTCTTTGTAACTGACGTAGGTTGAAGTAAGTAATTAAACGCCACAAAATCCAAGAGCAGGTTGCACTTTTTCACGGTGAAATGATTATGATGAGAGAAAGTAAGCGTGCTCAAGTCAGTTCCAGGCACATTGAATACACCAAGAACAATAATTTTGTGCCCACTATGAGACGAAATCACAAGACATCACGAAACACAGCAAGGGAAAATGCTGGGTGGTAAATAGAAACTATAAATCAAAACTTTTTGACGGCGCTCAAGGCTGATTTGTAATGAGATCGATTCTTCAAATGTTTCCATGTGTTTTCGTCTAATGGGTTTTAGTGAACTGCCAATGGAAACCAGAAGGACACCGCCTTTCTGTTGGATTGCAATGAAATCTCGGTCGCTGCGGAAGGTGAGAAATGTTGGGGAAAAATGTCAGATGAGGAATTTTGAGGTCCCAGCCAGGTTTCAGTAATAGCAACAATAGGAAAAGAAGAAGAAAGAACGTTAGAAAAAAAAGGAAGACCCTAAAGTTTCGCCTTTAGGAGTTGAATGTGATAACGACATCCTCTCCCTAATCCGCATTTCAAACACTTAGTACATGAAACATTTTCAAATTTGCTATGGAATTATTATACGTGGCCTTAAGGGAATAGGCGCAGTAGCGTGCGTGCCTTTTGTAGTTGGGTGCCGGCTGTCAACCACGAAGCCATTATGATATTCACATCATATGACGCTCGTTGGCAATCGACGCATGTACCATGCAACATTACTGCAATAGTTCATGTTGCATAGTGAAGCATGTATACAGGACGTGTGTGTGTTTGTGAAGCATGAAAGCTACTTTCACTGTATTTCCAAGCATAGGAAGTTCTTTTCACTGTTTTGACAAGCAAGAGCATGGCTGTGTGGTAGAACATCCACCTACCACGTTAACAATCTGGTTTGAGCCCCACTCAAACCCAACCAAATCTGGTTTGGTCCCCACTTTGCTCCAGGTTTTTTATCAATTATTTTCATTGCATCGTTCAAAATTTTAGTCACGTATAGAATGATGATTTTTCACTCACAACTTACTACGGCTACGCCGACACCGAAATTTCTGCGAAACGTGCGTTTTAACGCTCTCGCGTAAAAACTAGTGGGGTTTAGTACGCAGACCACGATGGTTCTGGTAGGCTATGTCTGCATTAAGGACATAAGGACAAGGGACAAGGAAGGCTTAAGGACTATGGGACAAAGAAGGCAAATTACCTACCAATAAGGATAGGATAGTTAAAATATCAGAAAAGTTTTACAGAGATCTGTACAGTAGCCAGGACAACCACGACCATAATGTAAGAACTAGATGTAACCCTGATGACATCTCACCAGTAATGACAGAAGAAGTCAGAAAAGCCTTGCAGGGAATGCAGAGAGGCAAATCTGCTGGTGAGGATCGGGTAGCGTCAAATCTACTGAATGATGGAGGACAGATTGTGTTAGAAAAACTAGCCACCCTGTTCACGAAGCGTCTCCTGGCGGGGAGGGTACCAGAATATTGAAAGACTGCTGACATGATATTAGTACATAAGAAAGGATATGACAAGAACTCGAAGAATTACAGGCCGATGAGCTTGCTCTCCGTCCTATGCAAGCTGATTACAAAGGTAATTGCTAACAAAATTAGGCCAACATTAGAATTCAATCAACTAAAGGAACAAGCAGGGTTTCGAACAGGCTACTCAACAATCGACCACAATCATACTAACAATCAAGCAATAGAGAAATGCTCAGAATACAGCCAACCACTATACATAGCCTTGATAGATTACGAGAAGGCATTTGATTCAGTAGAAACATCAGCAGTCATGCAGGCACTGCGGAATCAGGGCGTCGACAAAGCATATATGAACATGCTGGAAGAAATCTACAGTGGATCAACTGACACCGTGCTGCTTCATAAAGAAAGCGACAGAATACCAAACAAGAAGGGGATAAGACAAGGAAATACAATCTCCCCAATGCTATTTACTGGATGCTACAGGAGGCTTTCAGAGGCCTAGAATGGGAAGGGCTAAGGATAAGAGTTAATGGAGAGTACCTTAGTAGCCTGCGCTTCGCACGTGACATTGCATTGCTTATCAAGGGACAAATTGCAACTCACGATTACTGAATTAGACAGGCAGAGCAGAATGGTAGGTCTTAAACTTAATCTGCAGAAAATGAAAGTAATGTACAACAACCTCCGAAGAGAACAACACCTTAAGATAGATAATAGTGCACTTGAAGTTGTAAAAGACTACATATGCTTAGGACAGTTAATAACAGTGGAGCCGAACCACGAGTTGGAAGTAGCTATAGAAGAATAAGAATGGGGTGAAACACATTCGGCAAACACTTTCAAGTCATGACTGGTAGATTACCACTATTTCTCAAGAGGAAGGTATATAGCAGCTGTATCTTGCTGGTACTTACCTATGGAGCAGAAACCTGGAGGCTTAAAAAGAGGGTTCAACTTAATAAATTGAGGACGACGCTGCGAGTGATAGATACGAATATTATAGGTGTAACCTTAAGAGACCAGAAGAAGGCATAGTGAATAAGGTAACTAACTGGGGTTAAGGATATCATAGTTGAAATCAAGAAGAAAAAATGGTTTGGGCCGGGCTTGTTGCGCGGAAGCAGGATAACCGCTGGTCATGAAGGATAACTGACTGGATTCCCAGAGAAGGCAAGCGGGTTAGGGGGAGACAGAAAATTAAGTAGGTAGATGAGATTATAAAGTTCTCGGGTACAAATTGACAGCAGCAAGCACAGGCCCAAGTTGACTGGTGGATCATGGGAGAGGCATTTATCCTGCAGTGGACGTAGTCAGGCTGATGATGATGATGTATACATTACGCGGCACTTGTCACACCATGCACTAGCTTAGACAAATGAAGATGAGCAATTTGTACAGACTGTATCCGAAATATGATCCCGATATACGAACTGGACTACGCCCATACATACTGTGCTGATTCATGTTTTATAAGCGCTATAGTGTATACAGTATGTACATGGTGCCTCTGATTAGTCTTTCGCCTTTTATTCTTAATTTTCGTGTTTTTGTCTTTATCTTGTACACTACTGTCATGATGTTGGGATAGCCGGTTCTAACGTAGCCTACTTTCCCATGTTTTGCCGAATACACAAAAAGAAGTATGTCGTAGTGGAGCACCCCACGAAAAAGCTTGAAGAGGCTGTGAGAAACAAACAAGGCGACCCGGGACCCAATCGTCTGGC